ATTACCCCACCAGGGCTGCCTGGGGGAGCAGCTTTCCAACATAATTGTTGGGGGATCTGCTGTTTCTTTGGGCTTTTCACCCATTTTCCAGTCACTGGTTGATGTTTTTCCTCTCCTTTTTGCTCGTTTCAAGTTTCCACTCCGACACCAAACGCTTTCCCCTTTTCCTACCGCTGTTAACACGAGGCAGATCAAACAAACACAAACGTGTTTTCTCAAAAAATAACCATTAAGCAGATCATGGAGTTTGGTTCCAGTGACAGCTGAATATTTGTTTCATTAATAAGTCATTTGCAATTAATTCCTGGAGTCATTTCTAAAAGAACATTGTGATGTTTCCATGGTTTTAAAGTGGCAAGGCACGAGTCATTCTTTGACAAAATTTCTGTACAAAGTGCTCGTAGGCATCCACTGGAAAAATCCAGCCTCCAAGGAGGAGTGTCCCTGTGAGGTGGGAATGTGGCTCCCAGTAGTGGGGAGGCACCTCCACACAATATGCAAATAACTGCAGCATTTAGGGGTTGAATTTTAGGTGCATTGGTGCTCCATTCAAATTATTAGCATGGAAATTACTATATTAAGGAGTTTTATTCCATTTAAGGCTCATAAACAACTCTCCTCTACGCTGGAAAAATAAAATAAATCTCCAATACGAACAGTTCAATTTATCTCTTTTCAGTCAAAAAGCTGGATAAATAAGTGATTGCTATCCTGCTGTCTAAAAGCAAAGATGCTCCAGCTCAAAAAGGCTCCTGAGGCTCTAAAAATCACACCAGGAATTAAGGGCCAACCCTCCACTGGCTCAGCATCTTCCCCTGGATATCCAAGGGGCTCCATCCTCAAGCCTACCAAGGTCACCTTCTGCTTGGGATGGAACAGGCACCGTCTGCACTGGTGTTTTATTAAGAGTTAAATAACAATTTACCACCTTTCACAATGTTCTTTCTAACCTTAAAACTGGCACAATTTGGCCATAAATAACACAGGAAAGTGTCTCTAATCCTGGGCACCACTTCCACTCAAAGTCCCAAATCCTGATACTTGGCCAGCAAAGACTCAGGACACTTCTAAGCTATAGAAACAATTACAGTTGTTGCCATATCACCTTCTCAATAACCTTCCCCCAAAATTACAGGTTACAGAGTTGTCTGTGATCATTAACTGCCTGGAGGAGAAGCACATCACCAAAGCAACAAACCTCTAATCAAGGGAGTGGGAGCAGAGCAGAAGAGCAAAATAACTCTTTAAAAAGCAAGTTGCAAGAGGCTTTTTTTTAAAAAAAAATCAAAATCTTATTTGGCACATATAGTTACCACCCCACAGCAGCAAAATTAAAACGCTGGAAAAAGTGAACATCATAAATTTCTGCCTACTTGGGAACATAATTTGCTGGAATTACACTTTTAGAGGGAAGTGCTTACAGGTTTTCATATTCAGCAGCAAGAGGAGTAATTATACTAATGAACTGACACAGTTCTGAAGTGACACAACAGAGAGCTGGTAAAAAAAAAAAAAGTCAAATGTTTAGTTTTCAATTTAAAATGAAGGCAAAATATTTTTTAAAACTTAAAAATGCCCAATTTCCAGGTATTCTAATAGAGATGAATAGATAGTTAAATTGAGGTCTGGAAAGCAAAGTTCTAGACCTGCTTCTAAAAATCTTTACGTGGAAAGGTTTTCAAGTTTTCAGAAAAATCAGGTTAAAAATAACCTTTTAAATATTACAGCAATATCATAACTTATTAATAAAGTTGAGTAGGAGAACCTATAAATTATCTGGTAAGAAAAAAATAGAAATAATCAGCTATTTTGCACCTTCCATCAAAACACTGTGAGTTACACAACTATTTCCACGAGAAGATGGGACTTTGCCTTGAATGCAATTTGCAACCTATTGGTTTGATCCAGTTTCCACTGAAGTAAGTGAAAAGATTACCATTAAATTCAGTGAAAGCTGGATTAGACTCCGTTCAGATTCACAGTGGGGAAAAAAAAAAAACCCTTAATGATTATTTATGCCAGAAATTCCAGCGTAAAAAGCAAAATCGGCACAAATGTGTTGAAGAATTTGAAGAGAAAAATGAGCACAGTTGATATAAAATATGACTCCACTAAAAATTAGAGGATTACTAATTACTCTGAATACGTTTATAGAGAAGCTATAGATGTAATTTAATGGCACAAATATACTTGGAAATCCAATTATAGCAACAGAGCAGTGATTATAGAGTTGCATGAAGAGTTAAAATAAAATATGATACCAGATAAATGGGTATATTAGAAAGGCACTATTAGATTTTCTTGCATTTATCCACTGAGTGCCACCAGGCCTCTGAGCCAGGAACAAATAGGAGGAAAAAATAGCAGAGAAAGATTGAGTTTTCCTGCTAAATATAGTCAAAAACAACTGAGATATTTCTACTAAAAAAGATATAAATTTAGAGATACCAGCTACCAATATGTGATTTATACAGCAGATCAAAATAGTGAGTCTTATTCACAGTCCTGCTGTTCCAGATTCTCAACTTCTGTAAGCACTAAACCAGCAAAGAAGGAAAACTTGAAAAGGATTTACTGCAGAAAGTTGAAAGATCTCAGAGAAAACACAATATACCAATAAAAGGCCAATTATTGCAACCATCAATATCCAGCAGTGGGCTATCAGGCAAAAGATATGCAGATTCCATTAGGAAAAAATACGGCCATGCCTGTCCTCTGGTATAACAACATTATTTATAAATGGGAAGATGGACCCTCGCTTTATTTGTAGGTTTAAATAATAATTTGATACTTTACCCATTGTGTCAAGAAATTAAGATTTAGAGGAAACAAATAAATGTCCCTTTCTGATTTAAACCTAAAATAAGTCATTTCTTTCTCTGCTTTCTCTTGTCCTTGAAATCCACATTGACTTAAAACATATATATTTATAGTACATACCAGGTTTGCCAACTTTTGAAACCCAAGGAAAATATTCATCAATTGCCAGCAACTTGTTTAAATCTCTTCCAATCTTACCTGGTTTTGGCATTCAAACTTAAACCAGGCACAACCTGCAAGAGGTTTTGGTGAGAATTCCTCTCTGGTGAATTGGGAAATACTTCTTTGGGAGGTTCCCCATTAATAAACACCTGCATTTAGCCCTGTTTAGCAGTTTGTCCCTATTTTCCAATCACAGGGAGAGGGCTGGTAAAGGTTTCAATTTGTAAGGTCACACAGACTCCTCCCCAGGTAGGAGCTGGGTTATTAGCATAAGAAAAAGCTGGGGGGGAAGAATGAAAATAACCCCTAAAATCATCTTTTATTCTGCTTTTGCTGCAGTACTACAAAGACAAACAGAAACATTCACATGCTCAGCTCTGCCTTGGCCAAGCAAATCTCATAAATGTCTGAATTTCCCATTATGGCCATGATTTCTAGAGGGAGATGAAATCTTTACCTCTCTCTAAATTGATGGGAGTCTCCCTCCTCCCTTCAGATGCCAGAATATGGAAGTAGAAGACTCTCCCTCTGAAGGCTGTATTTTATAATACTCTGATGAGATGCCTTTTGATTTAGAGTTGGCATGAAGGGAGAAAAAAACCCCGTAGTAGTCTGCCAGCTCATCTAACCCAACTTTAATCACTGACTGTGGAGACAGCTCTATCTGAGCCAGTCATCTAAAATCCCTTTAAAGTCAATGGGGAGAAATAGATGTTTTTAGGATGCAATTAATTGATTGGAAGGAAGAGGGATCTATCACATATGGAAAAGAATTATGGCCCAGAGGGTTCTGCTTTTCCTCATTTACTTCAGAGGAGTTCACACATCTGCATTTTCACAGTCATCCAGGACAGGTGAGAAGAATGTCCCCCAATCACTATCAACAAATCTCTCTTGTTTTGTTTTGTTTTTTTTTTTTCATCTGTTTTACTGTTTCTTTTCCATTCTGTTCCTACACTGAGTCTCTCCCGGGACATCAGTTCAATTTTTGCATTACAAGCCCATTAACCCCCTCAAGGAAATGGGTTCAATCATCTGATGGAAATGAAAACTTTTGGATCTTACACGAGTGCTCACCTGGGCCAGAAGAACGGATCCATCAGGTTTAAAAAACACATTGATGGATAGTTTAGTGTCAGTTGTCACTGAAATATTCAGAATAGGACAGATAACAAAACACTTCCTACAGTTGTACCACTCTCCCAAGGACCTCTGGGCCCTTCAGCTCCCAGGGCTCTACATCATGTCCCAAATGTACCAGGAAATTATGATTACACACAGTCTGAGGAGCTGGGGTGATGATTTTCATGGAAACAAAGAAGAATATTCCCCCTCAAGAAGACACGGCATATCCATCCCCTCGAACACAGCAAACGTTAAGGGGGAGGAAAACTGATAACTGCGGATTTGCCTTCATCAGTGAGATCCAAAGAAGTCGAGTTGAAATAAGTTTGGCCAGACTTGAACATTGCAGAGCCCCCCAAAAGCCCCTTTCTTTTCCCGAGGCGCGGCCCTGTGCAATTTTGTTCTGCTCTCACAAGCGGGTGAACCTATTTCCTCTCACCCACCAAAGGGCCACCATTGTGCTGGAGGACTTTGAGGAATCTGCTGCTCACTCTGACATAAGGGAGTAGGTTTTGTTTCATGTTTGCCTTGTGCTGGGACATTCATCTTCAAAGGGCCCCGCTCGCAACCGGGGAGCCTTAGAAGCGGATCAGGGGCAATTCAAAGAGCTGTGCACGGAGCAGGAGGGGGCTCCTGTTCAAAGCTGCAGCCTCGAATCTGCCACAGAAGAGCAGATTCAAACCCAAAGAGGTCACTTCACCTACCTGTAGTGGGATCTCGTATTCAGAAGACTCCAGCTAAAAATAAGGGGTATTTAGGCAGCGTGACAAGTGAAACCCTCGAGCAATGCTCTTCTTCTCTCTCCCTCACACACAGACAGGGCCAGAGCAATGGCTCCTTTAGAAAAAAAAAACCCAAAACTGTAGGAGACATAATGGCCTCCAGAAACTTACTCACAGATCAGCTCCATCTGCAGCATCCTCCTGGCCTGAGCACAAAAGTTCCCAACGAGCTGGAGCACCACAGACCTCTGTTCAAACTGCCTGGAAGAGGGAAACTGCAATCAGCAGTTGCTCAACACATGATAAAGTGGTAAAAACACTGATTTCTTTCAATTACCCAGGTTAATGCAATCTAGAGGAAATATTCTGTTTGGCTCAGAAATTACCTGTTCTCTGGTCAGACCTGGGAGCCCTTGGACAACAAAAGGATTCTGGTTGGGTGGGCACTGTCTAAACACAGAGCAATACAGAGCTGTTTTCCCCAGAATTCAGCCTTTACACAGGAAATACAGAGAAGTACAGATGAAAATACTCTTCTCTTCAATTTATACATGGAGAACTGAGACAAGAGGAGACGCAGGTTCACGTACAAGCAGATTTACAAATGTTTAATGTCTCTGATGAGGTAAAGAAAATCAGAAAAGGATTTTTAAGAGAAGCAGAAGCATAATAAATAGTCTTGCAGATTATCTGCAGAGCCTTTGTATCAGGCACCTGATGTTTTTAAAAACAATTTAGATTAAATTTTTGTAACACCTGATTTTTTGTAAGACGTATCAGCTCTGCATCTGCAAGGGAGTCTCATTTTGCTACTGGGAGAGGGCAGTTGCATCTCTGGGATTTGATCCCTTTTCCCTGGGTTAGCAGAGGTTCTCCCTGCTCCCACTGCCATCACACACCTGATGGGGCCACTTCCCTCCTCCTTCAAACCTCCACTGCCACAGATACAAATCTCTGGACACAGTTTCTACCTCCTGAATCAGTTCTTCAGTCTCAACTGTCTTCAAGGACTTTTTTTTTTTTTTTTAAATACTAGATTAAAATGCACACGATCCTGTATTGCTTTGTCAGACTCCCCTTATTTATATTATATTTTTATTAAAAGCTTTAAAGCCTTTGGGCCAGTCTGTGTCTGAATGGCAGTTCACAGGCACAGTTGCATTTCTCCCCATATCATTATTATTTTGGTTTTTATTAGAAGTACCTGGGTTTGTTTTTCTTTTAACCTCAGTTTAAACATCCCCTCCATTGCCATGCTCATTTTGCTGCAGTGCTGACTGAGGTGTTTCAGGTTCATGGTGCTCCCTCCAAGTTTGATTTATAACAGCAGGCCAAGATGGATCAAAACTTTATATCTGATTCCACTTCTTATGTGACATTTGTGGTTTTTTTCACATTTTCCTACTTAGCAAATATATTATTCCTTTAAAGCGCCTGATCAAATATACTGGGATGGGGCAGACAATGCTAAAATTTAATTTAATTGTAAAATTATGCTTGGCCTGCATAAACACAGGTACAGCCTCCTTTGGACAAGGCATCTCCCAGGAAAAGCCAAGCATTTTGAGACCCTTCCATACAAGACAGGTGGAACACACACTGTGCTGTACAACCTGCTCTCAGATGGTTTCAAACCCTGTTTTTGCACTGTGATTCCTTTTGTCCGTGTTTTATTCTCCCTTCTGCTGCCCTGGCAGTGACCTCACCTGGAGCAAGAGGCTGCAAGGCCCCGTAGCTCTTCACAGAAAGAGCAATTGGTTTGTTCCCCAAATGTTTCCCAGGTTGTAAAACAGCATAAAAGTACAAATGAGGAGCCTCATGATATTTTTCTTCCTGCTGTGTGCAATCAAGCCAGAAAGTATCCCTGACTCCCACAGAACCTGCAAATTACCTCGGCATACCTGACCCACCACCAGCAACACAGCATTAGGACTATTTTCCCCCACTGATTCTTCTCCTGCTGAGCTCCTCCACAGGTCTGGGATGCTCCCTGCTTGCACAGTGCCTGGTTTGAAACAAAAATCCAAAATGTGAGTGAAATACTAAACCTTTGCCAGCAAAATATGGGAATTATTTCCAAAGAACTTCACGTCACTTTACATATTGCACAATTGACCCCATATATCTGCAAAGTCTGAAACTGAAGTAGATTCAACACAGCCAAGAAATAATCACAGAGAGCATTTTGGATTCAGCCAAGGATGAAGTAAGGCACTCTATTTTCAACAAAGCAAGCTGAGGCCGCTGTTCGCTACGTTCAACTACATCAATTATACAGAGCTTTACTGGAAAAGGATTAAAAAGTACAAAGGTAAACCAAACAGCATTGCTGCAGTGTCCAGTAGGATGAAACAACTCCCTTCCATGGAAGGTATGATTACAGAAATGCTAAAAAGAGAAGGGAAGGAGGAATGGAAGGAAGGATTTCATGGACCTTGAGCAGACTCACTGCGACAGTGACACAAAGCCGGGGCACTGCAGCACACACAGTTTGGAATTCAGCCCCCACATCCCTCGTGTCACTGCCAGCACTCACGTCTGAACTCCCTATTTCTGTATTTCCTCTTTGCCTCTAGCCAGGGAATTCCATTATTTCAGCAATGTAAAGTTTTAGATAATGTTGTGTTTCCTGAAGTCTCTTCCAGTTGTGTCCCTCCCACCCCAGATCGTTGCAAACTATTTGCTTCACTCCACTTCTATCCACACTGTCATTTCCAGGATCTGCTCCATTCAGCTCCATGTTCCTTAAAACTTTGATATTGAGTTCTTCATATGCCTAATTTGGGCTTAATTCCAGGCTGGGGTAAATCGTTACAACTCGGATGGAGTCAATAGGAGCACAGTGACTTACATCAGCTTTGTGTCAGTAAATACTGACAAGATTGATCTCAAACTTTTTCAGAACAAAAGATTTTCGAAGATGGATTAAACAACATAAATGCTGAGCTGTTTTGCTAGACTGCAAATGGCATAACACAAGCTTTGTGTGACATCTCTGAATTATCCCTTCGTGGTAATGTTGACATTACATGGTATTGACTCATGGAAGAAGCTTAAATACCCTTTTAAGTTTTCAAGACTCTTTGACAAAGCACTATTTCATTAACAAAATGTTAATGGAATCCAGGAAGCTTGACTCTACAGTACAGCCTGCTGCTTTCAAGAAGCTCTGACCGAGGGATGTGACTGCTCAGAGCAATGTAATTCTTATTTTTAGGACAACAGAAAAGGAAGCAGGGCACTCATTGGTTGAGGGAGGAGGACCCAAGGGTACTTCCACACTGCTCCACTGAAGGGCTACCACACCTTCTGCTGGAGAAGGTCAAAATAGCACAAATTAGAAAATACATCATGCAGGGTAAACTGGGAGAGACAGCAGTGTTGGTGTTTGCTTGGAGATAAGGCTTCTGCCTTGTGAAAAGGAGAAAGACCTGGAGAGCATTCTGGAGGGAATACCTGAACTGGGGTGAGATTTGGGAAAGGATAATTATGTATTTCCAGCTAAAATGATTGGTTCTAAGTACCCTGCTAATCAAAGAATCATAGGATCATTTAGGTCGGAAAAGACCTCTAAGATCATTGAGTCCAACTGTTAATGACACAAATGGCTCTCAGATAAGTACAGGGTTTATAATTGATGGGTTTACTGCTAGGAACAGACCTTGGCCTTCAGGTTCTCGATCTGACCCAGAGAAGGGACTTGATGGAGAGAAAGGGGCAGCACAGGTGGCCCAGGTGGCCCTTGTCACCACCAGGACAACGGGGGGAAACCCCTCTGTGGGGAGACAGCAGCACACAAGAGATTGGTTTGCACCCCAGGACCTGTGCAGAGCAGAGAGCAGGTTCCCCTCCCTCCTCTGGAGAGCAATAGATTGTTTGTGAACAACCACCCCCAAATCTTTTCCCCAGTAACCCACAGATATTTATAACACTCCCTGCTCAGGACTGTGACATGGCCCCAGCACCTTTCCAGAGAGACACCACTTGTAAGTCAAATGAAAGGTGACAGACCTTCTCAAGAGGGAAGTTTTATCACACCTTGAATAGTCAAATTTTCAAACTTAAGTTTTTCTACTGATTTCTAGATCAGCAGTTGCTTTATGTAATAAGGAAAGTTGTTATTAACCAAAGAGATTGGAAGGGATGGGCAGGGAAATACTAAACCTCTGTCCATTTGCCTGCTTTCTGCCTTTGACAGCATTCTGTGTGCCAACAACTTCCACATTTCCTCCTCTGTAGTTCATTTTATCTGTTCTGTGCACTCACATAAAGCAACAAGTGGAAGAAAATAATGTAAAAAAAAAGGAATGAAAAATTCAGCACTTAAAAGCAATACTTGACTGAGGTGCTCAAGGGCCACTTTGCTGCCTGAAACCACTCCTTTTCTTTTTTAATTGTTTACATTTTGAATTGATAAAATCCACAGCAGTAAAGATAACTTTGCCTGACTGCCCAGTAGAAGACTTGATGAGAAGCTGTCTGGAAGGGGGGAGAGTCTCCAAGATACATTTTTATGCATCCATGAAATATAAATAAATAAACAAGAGAGCTACATACACAAATAAGAGACTCAACAAACATGGCAGAGCTGTGAAACACATCTGCACTTGGGCACTGGTGATTGGATTAAAGGGTGGAGTGACCAGGTGTTAATGAGCCAGGAGTGAGGGAGCCCCATGGCATTGCCCTCTAGCACTGATGGGATCAGGACCAAGGGCTAAAAAGGGAGATGGAGATCCTCTGACATGTCTGAATGATGGACAAAAGGCTTGTTCCCTGGCTGAAAACAGGCATTTTGGTGCAATAGCAAAACTTCACACATCTACCCAACTCCTACATAACCAAGAAGTGATGCTGATGTCACTACTGTCAGCAGGTTAACAGCCCTTTGTCCTCTTGGGTTTGTTTGCTTTAATTCCCTGTGCCTTGAGAGGTGAACAACAGCCACAGTTTTAATTGCAGGCTGATCCCCCAAAGAGAAGACAAACACCCCTGTAGAAAGGGATGAAAGATTTTGTGCCAGCAGATGATTCATCTTTCCAAATACCTGGCTGCTCTCAAAAGGAGAGGAGGAAAACTGCACTGCCTCAAGGGTCTCGGCTGCCAAGGAGCTGCCAAGGAGCTGCAAATCCTCTGCTCAGGGGATTTGCTCCAGCACAAGGCAATCCCACCTCTGTTTCCCACTGAAACACAAAAGGAAAGTGCCTGGAGCACACACTTGACAGGCAGACCAGGCCCTTGTCTGTCCTCCAGAATCCTTCTGCTGAGAGAGTTTCCTCAAAAACTTGCTGTAACTGAACTGAAAATCAAAGATTGAGGCTCTTCAAGGATAACCAAATGAAGTCCTGAAGTTTTTCTGGGGTACTAATGGCCATACCAGAGCTCAACCTCCACACAGGATGAGTGCAACCTATGAGCAGAGGATCCAGGTGAGATTTCAGGGCTCCATCTTCCTAAGGGTATGGAGATTCAATAACCTAATAAAAGAGAAAGGGAGAACACACGGATCATTCCTCAATAATCCATTCCTGAATAATACTGTAGGTTTCAGTATAAAACAATTTGAAGGACTTACAGAAAAATCCAAATTCAAGGGAACTCTGGGAAGAAAGACGTTTTGATCTTGACTGCAAAGTGTGGCCCTCACTCAAGGACACTGAACTTTGTGGTCTCCCTGGGGTCACGAATTTTCCACATGAATTAACAGACAGCCATTGAGCTGCAGGACCAAGCAGGATTTTTCTCCTGGCTGAAGATCTGCCCCACGACATCCACATCCCACTGCCGGGAAAGCATCTCCCACCCTCCAGATAGCGCTGGTCAGAGCCCTCTGTGAATAACCACTTTATAATGTGAGACACTTACTATGCACTGGGTCACTGGTAGCAGGGTTGAGAAAGGGACATTCACATCTAAAATCACAAATCTCTACAGTCAACGCTGGAAAAATGAGCTCTGTCTCAAAGGCTCTTACAGACCCAGGAGGAGGAACACGCTCGAAGAACAGATTGCTGCAGTTTGTTAGCAAAGGTTAGGGAAAGCTGGAAACCTTAAGGTCTTGCAAATCAATCTGTGCATTGCACAGCTTCTCCCCTTCCAAAGCTGAGACAAATGCAGATTGTGTTTGTGGTGCTTGCAGAACAACCTGCAATCAAAATCTCTCGCTCTCGCTGGAACGAGGCGACAACACTCCGGAGACACAAAGACAACTGGAAGGCAGAAGTTCTGCAGAAGGAGCATTTTGCTTCTAAAACTCCACTTCATCCCCCTCGTGATCACACAGGTTTCTGTCGATTCTTTACACTTGTACCTGTTATTTGTCTTTAGCTGCCACATTGAACCACGAGCGCTGTGACCATAAATTAAAAAAAAAAACAAAAAACATCTAAAAAAAGGCCCAAACAAACTCAACAACATTTGCAACTGCATTTACATAAAACTCACTGGACACAACTGGCACTGCACAGTAGGATTTTTCTTTCCCACTCCTAGGAAGGAGCTGAGTTGAGCCAAGCTTAGCTGAGCTGAGCCCTCACCTACCTGCCCTCACCTACCTACCTTCCTGCCCCTGAGGTGCTTCTCCCCAGCTCAAGGAGGACATTCCTTACTCCAAAACACCTGTGTAGTACCAGGCACTGCTGATTTTCTTGAGGTAAGAGGGTATTTACTGTCTCTGGGGGACAATTCTAGGAATCAGCCCTTTTTTTATCTCTGGATGGGTCTTTAAATCAAAGATTAAAGAACCGAGAAAAGATACACAAAAACTGATAATCCCAACCCAGAGACCTTCCAATCATAAATACTTGTCATTCTCAGCATAATATGCAACCTTCAATACACTGTTGTGTTTCAGGCACATTTAGGTACCCTACAGAAATGACTTTAGGCTGCTATTATTCCTGAAGAACTTCAGATGAGTTTGGATCCATCATCATTCATCATGTCAGCCCCTCTACGGATAGTTACCCACACTTTGTCTGCTCGGGTTTATCTAATAGCTAGCCCTGGGTTTTATTAATTTCCACTGGTTTGCAGAAATTACAGAGTTCCTACTCTTTTTTATAACTTGTATCTTAACTTATGCCCATTTTCCATGAAAACCAAGCAGTGCTTCAAAGGCACATGACCTCTTCTGGGGCTCCTACTCCCTTAAGAAGGGATCCCAAATCTTGCCTTGTTGTGGTTTGGATTTCTCTGCTGTTTGTTTGCTGGGATTTTTTTTCATGCTGCTGATAAATAGATTCCCAAGGGCAAACAACCCATTTTTATGGGGGGCCTTTCTCTTCTTGGATGTTCAGCAGCCTGAGTTCACTTAAAATCTTTTACTCTTCAAACCATTTTACATCTGTGGGATTAGTGAGCATTCCTGTGTAAGCAGAGATAGAGGAAAGCTGAATTTCCCTTGTCATGATTCCCTTGGCCAGAGAAGCTGTGGCTGCCCCATTCCTGGAAGTGTTCAAAGCCAGGCTGGATGGGGCTTGGAGCAACCTGGGCTAGTGGAAGGTGTCCCTGCCCATGGCAGGGGGTGCAATGGGATGGTCTTTCAGGTCCCTTCCAACCCAAACCATTCTATTCTGATTTAATGATGACTGAGGAAATAAATTCCCTTTTGTACTATTGATATATACGTGAAGGTATACACAATGTCTACTTATCCAGCAGGCAGGAGTCACATTTTAAATATACATTTATGTGTTAAATCACTGTGATTTTGGTTTTTGTACTTTCAGTGAAAACCCCCACGGATCATTGTCAAAGCCACAATTGTTAATTTAACAGTTCTTCTGCAAAGAAAGAAAAGGAAAAGCAGAACATACACTTACTGTATATATATATATATATACACATACATGATATTGTATATGTTTCCTCTAGAATGTTCCTATACTGTATTTTATAGAGGACTCCTCTCCTCCTTGATGACTTTTTGCTCTGTAAAACAGTGTAAGAGGCACAGTGGAGGTGAGAGCCAGCCCTGGTGCAGGGCAGAAAGGCTGCCCTGGCACTCAGAGCCCTGGCCATGAGGCACAGCCACCGTCCTGAGGCCACACAAGCCCCATGTGACATCCACAGCCCCAGTCCCACGAGCCAGTGGTTCCAAGAAACAGCAGCACCTGCTCAGGTTTGGGACACCACTGGGGTGTCTGGAGGTCTGTGACTCCCCAAACCCTCCCTGACCCATGGACACCCCTTGGCTCACCTTGGGTATCCCTGGAGCTCCTCACTCCCCTGGCAGCTTCACGGGTACGGAGAGTCCCGGAGGTGGTTCCCATCTCCAAACTCTTCCCTTTGGAGCACTTCAGCCACCTGTTCAGCACAGCAAAATATCCAACCCATTTAATGAGGCTTCTGGTAAAATCCTTCCTTTGAAGTCCCTCAGACCGTGACAGCAATTAACTCCAGCCCCATCTTCACTGCTGTTGTTTTACCTCATATCACTCGAGATCAACAACATCACTGATGGTGCAAATTATTTCCCCGCATAAGCAGTGAGGGAATGTCTCACATCCAGCACTTACTGTCAGCTGGCAAAGTGACCTGACTGCAATTACAGCCACGATGTTGGGGTGTCTTCAGTGTCCCTGGGCTCCTCCAGGATTTTTAGTAATTTTTGCAAATTTAAGACTGCGAGGAAATTCATTGCATTTACGGCTGGCAGCGTTTAGAGATGAACCTACTGTAGGTACAGGGGAGGTGGGTAGGGAGGGCATCACAGCAGAACAAAGCACACAGATGGGGTCAGGAACTGTGGCTCCTCTTAACAAAACTGTCCCCGGGCTCATCCCATCCAGTATCACGTGTACATGTAGATATTCAGAAACTTTTCCCCGAATGTACACAATGGGGATTATTTTCATTGCAAATGGTTTGTAACAGTGCACATTAAAAAGCCAATATGACATCGAGTGGACTATAAATAATATCAGTTTAAAAGGCAAAAGGATCTAACTGAAATATTAATTTCTCCACATTAGAAATGAGAGAAATAAGAAATGAGGAAGATCACAAGCAATAGACACACAACCAAAGGTAGCTATTTAAAATTGCCCTTGGAAGAAACTTTTTCAAGGTTTTCTGTTTGTTTTATTTCTGTTTCTGGGTTGGGGGGTTTTTTTCTCTTTCTTTTTTCTTTTTTTTTTTTATTATTTGCTTTGGGTTTTGTTTTTAAAGCGAGCAAGAATAAGGATAAAAGGAAACTAATTCCCCACTAAAGGGCCTCCTGCGGCCGGAGCGGGATGACCTGCTGGCTCCATAACCTCTGCCAGGGGAGGGATGTCAGCACACACAGCCCCTCCAACCAGCTCCAGACAACAATGGCAACACAGGGAAAACAAAACAGGATCCCAATCCTTCCCCTGATCCGTCTGAGGACATCACCTACACCTTAATCCCTTGGCCAAGGTTGCATTTCCCAAGCCCCGAGGGCAGAACACACCACTCCACAGCCACAACCCAGAATTCCTGCCCTGTGAGAAATTCCAATGTTTTCCCCGGTTCAGAAGGCTAAAGATCCTTGAAAGATCTGCAAGATACTTGAAAAGATTTTGAGGAAACTGAATTTGTGCAAACATTTTATGAAAATGTTGTGTTTTAATGATACAGTCGGCAGGCTGAAAATGGTAAAAAAAATACAAGACAAAGCATATGGAAAACACGAAAAGGATCAATTAATTAATTAAAATGAACCCTGAACAAATTAAAACATTTCAGCATCGCCAAAATGAAACACTTCAACGTTGTACCAACAGAGGTGAAAGTCAGATGACGCGTCAGAACATGTTTTCTCTCAAAAATTATTATAATCAATAAAATTCCAGTTCCAAATTTCATTTTTGTTCTGACTGGATTTTGGATTCCGAGCTGTTTGCACATGTTTTGACCCCCCAATACCCAAGCAAATTGCTGCCATCCCAACCTCTTCTGCAAGGGTGGTGCAGGTAAATGGAAGAACGTCACTGATTCTTACGGAAGGAAAGCCTAAAACCTGTGTTTTCTATAAAATTGGTGGGTTTGGCTTATTTCTCAGCAAAAAAACGCCTTGAGGAGAGGTGAAGCAAAGCTATTGTTACCAAGACTTTCTTACTGTAAGAACCCATCCTACAGTGCATTTCCTGGTACGCTCTGAAATACCATAAATCATTCTGACAACGTGATACTTGTCAAAATAAAGGCAAGAAAATACATCTCGGAATAAAACATCCTCAATCATATTTATTTGTTTGCTCACTCGTGCCATTTGGCTTCTCTCAGTGGGTTTCCCAATCGTTAGGGTGAATTAGTGAGATTCTGCTGGAAAAACAGCCCCATGTGCATATTCACAGGCTCACACACACACGGAATATCTGCCCGTAGCACTGAACACTCGGGCAGGAGAACTGAAAATAATAAAGCTTGCAAAGGACACTTCAGTTTTCCTGCTCTTTTTTTTTTTTTTCCACCCTTTTCCAGCTTTTTTTTTTTTTTTTCCCATCCCCCTCACCAAATATTTCACTAATGCTCAATGGTGGCTTGGTTTAAGGGAGTCCTGCCTGGAAAGCTCCTTCAGCTGCTCAGCCCAACAGCATAAATTTGATCTCGTAATTAGTATTCAGCTCAGCATCTTGGATAGAAACCAATGTTACAGCCAAGAGGTGGTTTAAATCACATAAATCATAGATCAATGACAGAACTCTAAGCACTGGATAGATTACAAAAGTAAGCTTTAGTTAAAAATAGATTAACCATTTCCCTGCAGGAATTCCTTCAAAAAAGCCCTGAATATAAAACAAATAAAATTAAATTTGATAATTTTTTTTCCTAATGCATGCATATACTAGATGAATTGTTCTTTCCCTTGACAGTTACACACTGATTAAAGAAATGTGTTAACATGCTATTTCAATGGAAAATATTGTAAATTGTGGGGACTTTAATTTTTTTAATGAGCCTCTAATAGCCAAAAAGCAATGTTGTGTACAGATAGGTTTATAGCATATCACAGCAGCTAACAGATACTTCTGCAGTTGCTGTTTTTATAAAAAAAGGGCAAAAATCATTCCCCAAGCCAAGAAAAATGTTTTTGAGGAGTGTTTTTTAAAGTATTTTGTGTTTTAAATTTTAGGTAACGAAGCTCCCAGTCGTAAGGAGCATCACAAGCCCTCAGTTATCCTGATTTAAGCACCCGTGGGGGTAGTCAGCATCTTGAAGGATTGAGCCCCAAGATCCCCAAATTGTTAAAAGTTCAGGGGAAGAGGAAATATGGGACTGAATCTCTTCCCCCTGACTAAGGGATGAAGGAGGGTTTGGCTCTTGCTAGGAAATTCTCTGTTGCTGTAGACCAGTTACACCAAATTGGGGTGCACCAGAGGACACAGAGTGTGCCAGTCAGGAATCTGCTCTGCAACCTGAGAATCTAAATTAAAAATATAAATTTAAAGTATGAGCTTGCTCCTGTACATTGTACTGTGATAGCCTCCCATGAGGTCGCCCATAACTCAAAAGAACAAAAAAAGGAAGAAAAAGACCTAAAAAACCCCAACTTTTCAGCATCCGAAGGACAATTTGCATGTCTGTTTTCTGAGCTGAAGAACTGAAAGCCAGAAATGCCTGAGCAGCACCTCAGCCTCTCCTCAGGCCAGGGAAGTGCAGATTCCAAGCCACCGTGGCTGGAATAACGGGCTCGGATTCCCCCCCGGGCACACGCAGGGACTGAGGCAGCTCCAGCCACAGCAAAGAGAGGAGAAGCAGCCTGAGCATCAGGCACAAATCCTGCCACCACATCCACCCTTTCAGAACCTTCAAATCCACCTTCAAATTAGTGAGTAAGTAATCAAAGTGAGAGAAATCCCACATTGCCTATCCCTGGACCGACAAATTATGATCAAATGCAGAACTGAAAATACAGTGATTCACCCCAATAAAAAGTTGCACAGTTCTTGGACTGGTAGATAACTGTTACAGCCACAATACAATGAATTCAAACTTCCTGAACACCGGCATCTGCTTGTATATTTAACTTTCTACAGATGACAAAAACATGAGTATAATTGCTGTTGCCACATCTAGAATTTTAAAAAGTAAGTAATACTGTTCCTAGAGATGTTCCCATTTGTTTTCAAACACTCCAGCTCCATCAAAAAGAACATCTTTAAACTTTTAGTGCTTAATGGAAATGACTACTTTCAATTTCCAAGGATTTTTTTTTTCCCCGTCACAAGAAATAAAACAGCGAGCTGCTCCATGGCTATTTGAGGAACAACATTGAGATTTCCAAAGTGCCTCCCTGTGTGATAGAAGACTGCAATATATGCAATCAAGAGATAGATTCAAACAATAATAACTAGCAGAGGCTCCAGGCATTGCAGAACGTGTCATTTACTTCAGACCCGTTCCTTGAAACATCAGTCCTGCGAGTAGTTCAGTGGAAAATAGATGGGACTGCTCCTGCAAGTACAGGCTGTTCGTACAGGGAAGTTTTCAAAGGCTCTGCATTTTCTAAAGTGCTGAAAAATGCATATCAAGTTTAGTAAAACTAAAGAAGAGGAAAAAAAAAAAAGGAAGGGGAAAAAAGGATCTCTTGTAAAACACCGAATTGTCAGAGAGATGTCAGGGTTAATTTTTAAAGGCATATTTCCCTCCAGCAACAATTCTCTTTAATTATTTCAATGTGAAACACATTATCAGACATGTTCCTTCCCTGTTCTCAGCTCCCTGACACAAGATAGGTACAAGATGTTAAATCTCTGCCGACGCTCACACACGTTGGCTGGGCAGCTCCTGCTGCACCTACAGCCTCCAGCTTCCTCTACCAAACTTTTGGGGCCACCTGTCCCTGGTCACAGCAGCAAAACAGGGCAGGAGGTGGCTGAGGAAGAGCCCCAGGATTTCAGAGGGTGGCCCTCGACACCTACAGGGGCACCAAGAGCCGCACGGAGCAGACACATCGGTTTAAAAGTTACAACCGTAACACACGTGGCAGCCTTCCAGCATGTTTGAGTGGGAATTCATCCTGATTTGGGTTGTTTTTGTTTTTTTTTTTACTTAGAGGTCTAACAGTCATATAGAATAGATGGTACAGAACAGGCAAAGTCCAGTGAGAAAGCTCCTGGAGTGTCACAGCACAAGGAGCTGCTGCAGGACATGGTCACGTCAGACACTTCTTCAGGAATTCATGAGAAACACTTTTTGTTCCTCCCAAGTGCTAAAGGACAGTGCCCAGAGACCCACAGTAAAATATCAGCTCAAAATCACGAGTGACAGTAGTTTCACATTTAGATCTGGAGAAGAAACCTTGATCTAATGCATCGGTTCGGTGTCGCAAAGCACCA